TGTCAGATATTACATAATTTTTGACTAACTAGTTAATGGGTATTTAATTTATAGTAAATGGTATTTTACGATCGAACTACTCAAATAAAATAGTTTGTTTTCGGACAGAGTTTTGGAGGTTTGTGTTTTTACACATTTGAAATCATCAATCAATCATTGTTAGACCACCATTAGAAACCTGAAAGCACTGGACGGCCGTTTCGTCCTGGTATGGGACTCTTCAGCAGTGCGCATCCAAGACTCCTGCACCTCGCAGGATTCGAACTCGGGACCTTCGGTATTGTGTGCGAACGCCTAACCATCGGACCACTCAGCCGGCATCTAACGATGTTAATGGGTAACTCTGATTGATCTACGGATTTTGCACGATGGTAAAATTATGAATCCTGAGAGGTGCAGGAGTCTTGGATGCGCACTGTTGATGAGTCCCATACCATGACGAAACGGCCGTCTAGTGCTTCCAGGTTTCTAATTGTGGTCTAACAATGATTGATTGATGATTTCAAATCTGTAAAACCTAGATTGTGCCAGTATTTAAATTTAGATAGAAAAAAACATGCTTTCGAAAGATTTAATTTTAATGCTCAGTTTTGTTCTAGGTACGTTCAAGATTATAGATGTTTTAATAACTCATTAATGTTTGTTTATTGTATGATTTAATCAATAGTAAAAATAGGTGAACTAAGCTGACGAAAGAATTTAAAATAGACTTTACACTTCTATATTTGTACGTCAAATAAATATTGACTATGTGAATTATGCATAAGGAATACGCTTGTACAACAAAATTTCAAATACTTCTGAAGGAACAAAGATATATATATTTTGTGCGAAAGTTGATTTATATATTGAATTATTCTGTGTAATTTTTTTCTAACAGATTGAATAAACATTACAATGTCTTACTTTATAGCTGTGAAACATGTCCAATCAGAGTAGAAGATATTCGTAGGTCACTGGTTTTCGATCATAAGTGTCTTCGAAGCACTGCTCATGTATCCTGGGACAACCGTATAAGCAATGCTGTCGTTAGGAAACGAGTACTAGGTAATGATGACAGATCAATAGATGAAGTAATGAAACTTCATCAATTGAGGTGGTTGGGACATGTGCTGCTGCGAGACGAAAGTCATCGATGGTTAGAGACCTTGAACGACATGGCTCAGAATCGTTTGCAATGGCGCAAGTGCATCCACTCTTTGTGTTCTATCAAATTCTAGTCTTCTGGATTCTTCAACACCTCTACCTTTGTCTTTCCAAACTTATCTCACTGAATCATACTTCTTGAATAATATCTTCAGATCCTAATCTTCTCCGATTACTTCTAATACTTTTACTACCTCTTCTACTATTGGATTTGAATTGACAATTGCATCTCTGTGCTGATGTTGTATGGCAACATGAACTGATGTACTTACGTACGACGTTCTACGTTGCATCTGACTGACTGACAATGTTGAAATGAAATAATGTATGTAGTTGATCACAGAAATTAACTTTTAAATTTTATAAAAAAATAACAAAATATGATAAAGTGTTAGTTTTAGAGTAAAAATATACTTATTTCATATACGTAAAAGTAGACTTCGGAGACATCATAAATGATAATAACAAATATATTGTACATAGACGCAAATGCAGTACCACGGAATAGATATTATATATATATATATATATATATATATATATATATATATATATATAATTATAATTTAAAAATGCTTTCGTAATACTAATTGTAAATTATGTAATTAATTGGTATGACCTTATTCATACATAAAAAGGCTTTTCAGCATCATGGACAAACTGACATCAACTGGGGAAACATTGAAAAAGGAGAAGGGATATTGAAAAAAAACTGTTTAGTTTCTTTTTTAAGACTATTTAGCAATGTTCACTTAGAATCTTTGAAGAAAGTGGGTTTATTTGAATGATTTATTTTGGTAAATCAACCAATAGATATAAGAATTTCTTGTTACAATTCATCTATGCATATCAATTTGAAGTTAACAAAAAATCAAAAATGTAAACCAATTATTGTATTGTATAGTAACAAAAAAGGTAAATATATATTTCTAACTATTCAGATGAAGTCAAATGGTTTGAATTTTTATTGGCCCTAGGATCTGACCCTAATTTGTTACAAGAATTGAATATGCTATGAAATAAATTCATCTTTTAATTCCCATTTAATTTTCTTAGATGAACTCTGTTCGTGTGATGGAGGTTAAATAGAAAGCCTGATATGGTTTATTTTCCATGAACTTATTTCATACATTCGCATAAGTAGACAGACAATATACAGAATTGTAGAAGTAAAGCAAACAAGGTAAGTGAGCCAACTTCATACAATAAAGCATGATTACGTATAATTTATATATTCAGACAAAAATAGTTAGATATGCAATAAATGAAATAAGAAATGCACAGACACAAGTAAAAACAAACAAAGTTATAAGCAAATAATTGACAAGGTCAAAAAACATGTGAATAATGATTCGGCAAAAGTAGATTAATTAGTTTGTCCAAAGGCTGGGGGATAAACCCTGTGAATGCAACATATTGGTACATACTACCATCTCATATCAAAATAAATGATTTACGCATACCTAAAATCTGTTCAATTATAGAATGAATACAAAACAGACATGTAAACGAGTTGATGAAATATTTATTATTGATAATGTTTATCAGTGTCATATATATATTGTTGAAATTGAAACCAAATCTAATTATTAAAAAAAACCCATCTTGATTAAAAATAATTAATGACCTATTTAAATACATGTGAATAAATGAAATGAGATAGGTTTATAGTAAGAAAGATTTTGGTTATCATAGCTGTTTTTTTTGTTTTAGAAATATGTTAATTATAACTAAAGTAGGCCCTAAGAAAGAAAATATTATCAGTTCTACGTAGAAGATATGTAAAAAGAAAAAGAAAATCATCATTCCAAGCTTTGCTACGATGATAACATATTATGTCTTATCACTTAATCAATAGAGGGCACTGAAACTAAATGACTAAAGAAAATCTTAACACAAAAACAAAAAATGCTTCATAAATAACGTGGAATTCAAATGTAAACAGTCAATAATATATATTAAATATAAACATTTTATGTAAGATGAAGTATTGCTATTACTAACAAGTCAAATAACCAACACAATCTATGATGAACAAATATAAACCTATCAAAGTTATCAATCAAAAGTCAGTCACCAAAATAAGCAAATCAATTGCCTATGTGTTATGATGTTAATTTAACTGACAATTTCCTATGATATTTTCAGATAGATATAAATATATGAATAGTGACTAAAGATAGGATTTCCCTTGATAAAAAATGGTATTTAGTGAATTGAAAAAGTAACAAAATCAGAATTCAAATGAAGGAAATAAAATAAACAGAAATCAGATTAAAGTTACAGTAATAGCCTCCCATGAATAATGACTTGTGAACAGGCTTCATCCATTAATATGAATAGTTTTACATCAACAAAAAATGATATGTTGTTTATGAGCTTATACTTTTTTCGACTTGAAGTTTCATTGCTTTGTATTATGTACCATATAGTGAAAATTCTTACAAGATAGATGACTCATTAGCTTATTGAAAGCTATTTAGTCTCAGCAGCCATTTACAAAAACTACAACTTTTCTCAGAGTGAAGGCTGTTATTACTTTGCAGTTCCATTGAAATCATGAACCGATCAATTTTAGGACATTAGTGAACGGCTGTTCGTCCTAGTATGGGACTCCTCAGTAGTAGGCAGCCACAAATTCGCACGCACGAATCAAACTTAGGACCTTTGGTCTCACAGGAGAATGCTTATCATCTAGACTCTCTAGTCGGCATCCAATGGTTCTACCCTTAAAACTTCAATTAATCCATTGTCTTGGATAGGTAACTGCATCATCCTTGATAAGGTTGAATTCCACTGGTCAAACATTAACACTAGAACTTCGAGAATTCTCTCTTGAAGCTGTTCACTAGTGAATATATATTGATTCTTAGTATCATTAGGATATAAAATTAACATTTTAAAACCTTCGGTTATTTCACTTTAAGTTCTACTCATTTTTACCACAGTTCACAATGGCTTTGTCTTACTGACTCAGTTGTGATCTAATGTCCTTCAGTAAATTCTTTTCAAGACTTTTAAAAATAATTTAGCACATGATACTCATCAGTTTTCCCACATGGGCAAAAAAAAAAGAAAAGAAAATTGCTTATTTTCATTGTTCCACTGTTTTATTTAAACATTGATAGCATCTCACATCAATTATGTGTAATTTATAAGATATCTGACAAATTTTTGATAAATATAGATCCACAGAGCACAATTTTAAATGCAACTACTCACAAATATATATATATATGCTTCGAAGATTATTCGAATAAACGAAGTTCATAGGCATGCTGAGAATTTTCTACAATCATTAGCATTGCATAAAATTAAGGACTTATAACTAAGTACACATTTATAGTTCTATGCTTAACAAACCTATGGAACACCATTGACAATCTAAATCATTGATTTACTTTTTTATATATGCATTAAATCGTTTCAGTTGCTATCAACCACTTCTATTGATAAACAAAAAAATATCAGCGATTAGAAAATGCATATACACTATTATGAACCTATCAACCTTACAGTGAACATTCCACAAAAATAGACTAATGTAAATTTTATAGTGAATAACAGCATCATTATTGGTCTATCTATGTAAAAAAAAAAAACAGCCTCGATATTTGATTGAGATTAAAGTACAAATTTAAAGCATCAAACTTGGAAATCTGCATTCATTGTTATTTTGGATTTTTATTTACATACTAGTCAATATTTTTTCACACAATGAAGAAAGTTTATCTATTTTCATTAAAACAATTTATATTTACGTGTACAATTAAACAAAAAAGAATTATTTCTAAATAATAAAATAACAATTCTATAATTTTTTAAGAAATTTATATAATAATATATTGGCTTACTTTATATGATAACCTGATGTTTCATGTGATTGATCTTTTTCGCTGTGATTATCTATATATATATAAATGATTCAGAAGGAAAATAAGAAATAAATTGATTTTTTTTAATGACAAACAATTCATGAATAAAACAAAGATGTGAAATTTTTTTGAAATTTTACTACTATTAACAAATTATGAATGTGAATTAATGTTATTGATATAAAATATGTTTGCAATCATTGAATATTTAGAAAAACGATGAGAGTATTATTTAAGCACATAAATATAAATAAATAATAAATATTCATTATATTAAGAACATTCAGTGAGCTATTGAAAATTCTACAAATCTATATGTTGGGGATGTTAGATCCCGGAAATTCGCTTGATAAATGCCTTATTTTCGTTTTTACGTTTGCGAGCATGGGCTGATCACTTGACCTTGAGATTTCAATTCCAACCAGGAAAATCCATGGCTGTGATTGGCTGCTGTGTATTTTTGGGTGCTATTTTCTTGACTGTCTCAAGGGCGTTTGTATGATGTATAACTATACGAGAGTGGTATGTTTGATTGTACTGTGATTGCTAGGTGTTTGTAGAATATACTTTCTACGCTTACAAAGCCTTTTTACTCTATTTGTGGATTCAAGGTGGCCTATCTGGACGCTGGTAAAAGTCTCGTTCGCGTTTGTCGACTAAGGTAAACTCGTAATAGCCTCAAGCATACTTAGTGACGGGGCTAACAACTGGCGACAGAAATCTGACTACATAGAACAATAAAGTATAACAGTATTCACACATGAAAGGCTACTCTTGTGGGTTTGTAGGGGGAGGGGGAAGGGGAGGGGGGGGGGGGGGGGGGGGGGTTTGCGTGAGCCAATTGATGGAGTGAAAGATGTAACGGTGGGCGAGGGTGTCGTTGGGGGGTGTTTTTGGGGTCTTTACTGGATTCGGTGGTCTTTTTTTTTTTGTGGGGGGGTTTTCAAATTAATAACCTTTAGATTTGTGTATAGCATGAGATGGCGTGGGCTCGTTCTCTGAAGTAATCCAGTGTTTTTCTGTTTTTTTTTGTTTTTTTTGTGTTCTCTTTAGGAATACAAAATATAACACATTTTGTTATAGGAGGGGGTTGTTATGGTGCGAATCATTGCTATAATGGGGGGGGGGGGGGGGGGTTTCATTATTTAAAATTGTGAGTAATGGGGGGGTAGTCGAAAATGCTATTTATATTCTTTATGCTTAGGGATTTATCACTGATTTTTCTTTATGGTTTTTTTTTTTAATTGCTAATCTATTCTGTTACATTTGTAATCTTTCTTAATCACCTCTCTATTCCATTATTTATTCTTTTTATGCCATCCTATATCAAATATTTTAAAGATTAGATTTGCACGAGCGAGGGAAAACTTGTGAGGTGTGGGGGGGGGAGGGGGGGTGGATGTATATGAATGTTGAGCAAGTATTTTTTTAGACTGTTTTTTATTTCCGACTTGAGAAGCAATTTTTAGTATATGACATTTCATTGTTACTTAATTTTTTGGGCGGGGGGGGGTTGCGTGTGTGGTTACCAATTGACTACGATTTTGCAGATCTGGTTAGTGGAGAAAGTGTCGATGGGATAGGGAATGAGTGGGGTTCATGGGACGAGAGAGGGATAGGGGGAGGGTGGGGCTCGTAGGTGAGGAGGGGAAGGAGGGTGGGGACATACGGGCAGATGTAGGAGAATAAACGAAATAAAGTCAATATTTATTAATTCATAGTAATTTTTTTTCTGACTTTTTCTCTTTTTTTATGCCATTTTACTGTATATTTTTCACGGTTAATGTGCGTATGTGATCATATCTATCTTAATTGAGTCTTATCCTTTCTCCCTTCCTCTCTGGTTTTTCTCTTCTTTGGTTGTTAATTTTGGAAGTTTTGTTTTTTTCTTGAATATTAGTTTCCATTTACGTGCTCTCTCTTCTTTTTGTTTTTTTTTCTTCATTCTTCCACTCCCCTCTTTCTTTCTTTTTTCCTTCCGTTCTCTGCGTTCTCCGTGCTTCTCTTGTGTTGCCTGGTCTTTCACTCCTTTTCTTTCCTTCTCTGTTTCCTTTTTATTAGATAATAGAAAATAGAGATTGCCTTTAATTAGTAATATTGATATCTTTTTTTAAGAAATATGCTATTTAATTTTAATAGCATTATGAGCGTTAGGGGGGGGCGGGGTTGTTTTCTTTGTTTTTAATTTTTTTTCTTTCCTTCCCTTTTCACTGGCATCTCAATAACTCTCTGAATTTTCCTTTTTCACACCTGCGCCGGGCACTATATGCCTTTCTTTTCTTCCCCTCCTCTGCCTCCCCTGTTCTCTCCACAATTTGCTATTTATTACACATTCAATTCAATGCTGCTCGTGCAAATCGTCTTCATATTTCTTAACATGATAAGATCATATGGTTGATGTTTATAAGTTCATGATGTTGCATCATTAATAATCAATGTTTATTTCCTAGTTATCATAGCTTTTTTGTCTCTTAATTTTAATACTGATCACTTTTTATGATTCGATTATATAAGTGTTATTGTTTTAGAAAAAAACAAATTATTTCTTGAGAATCACTTCATCGTATGCTACCATCTAAGGTTATTTATTGAAAGAAAAGAATCCGAAGACTGAATAAT